GAATGAATTTACACTTATATGGGCCACCTTGTAAACACACCTAGCAGTTTTTTTGTATCTGTTTTGTATCAGTGTTGACTGAAGAATGTTCCCAATTAACAAAAAAAATCTTTGGGTACGCAAGTTGTGTATGCAGTGGAGTTAATTGTAGGTAATCTGTTCACTAGGTGATAAAGTGTCTGAATTTGTTAAACCATGTTGTTTCATTTGCAGGTACCCACTAAGTCGGCATTCATTAAAATAGGAGGAGTTATCAAAAAGATAGGATATTCTCAACTGTGTGGCCCAAACTCCTTTGCAATTCTGATAAGAGTTGTAGAGGTGTCCTCAGAAAAACGCGTATGTACTTATCTGCCCAAATGATATGACTTTAGGGACTCAAACACCCTATTCCACCAACCTGCTCCTAGCAAAAGGATAGAAATCTTGCTCTAGAATGAATGCTAACCTTTGCGGGAGCAGAATAACATAATATTAAGAGCTCTGGAAGCCAATTGCCAGGTTCAAATACCAGGTGTAACATTTATTAACTGTACAACTTAAGGCAAGTTATTCATGGCTCTTTACCTCAATTAACTTTTATCTGTAAAATGGGAATAATAATAATAATTATCTCTCTCTGTTTGTGAGGATTAAATTGGTACAAAGAAAACCCTTTCAACAGTGCTTAGAACATAAGAGCTCAAATAAATGCTAGTTGAGATTTCTATTATCCTCATTAGCTTCAACCTCTCCCTCAAACTAACTATAAGCCAGACTAAGAGACAGTTTTTGTTTCTTCTAGGCTTGCTGGTTGGTTCTTTCTCACTGTTAGAGTGATGAAGTGCCCAATGTGTAAATGGCAGGAGCCCTGGGAAGAGAAAGTTACATGTTATATACAGTTCTAAATAATGAAGTGTTTTTCCTTAAGGGGAAATCTAGCCATTCTTTTATACCTTCAGATTCATTTACCTTTCCCAGTTCTCATTCCAAACACTGACCAAAAATAGGTCAGAGTAGGAATTGGCCTCTTTACTTCATGCAATGATAAGAGTATACTTAGATGAAGGTGTCATATTGGCTTGAAATCATCGGCTAAGATGTCGGAGGGCATGCTTAAAAGCACACTGTTAGGAAATAAGTGACATTTGAAAAGAAAAAGAGTATTTGGAAATGGAATCCTTTAGGGACATAAGAGGACCATCCAAATAGGAGACAAGTTGAAGTCTGTAATCCTTCAGCCAGAACTGCAAGAGTAACTGCTTGCTCAACATAGTGTTTTGCCGTCGGGGTTACATATTTTTACCAGTCCATAGTTTCTAGTGAACACATCCTTTAACACCAATGGTGGTGGTTCAGTTTGATGTAATGTGTGGCTGAAAACCTCCACAGTTTTCTTGTGGGAAGGCTTCAGCAAAGTCACACCCTTCTGGCCCGTAGGAACCAAACTAAATTGATAAAAATATAGTAAGACACAAAGAGGATGTGTGGTTTTAGGAAGGTGTAGCAATTGAATAACTGCAACTCAGCATATATTTGAGCACTTTGAGGTATGTGCCACGTACACCTAAATTTGAGCTCAGAAGGTAAGGTAAGGGATAACTGAGTCACCAGGGCAAGGCTGCTGTCCACATCTCGGAAATGTTTGCCTTTATGTGACCTGAAAACTTGAGATCAGGAGACAGGAGCCTTGACTTAGTTCCTGGAAGAATTTTCAAAATGTGGTACATTTATATGTAACTCCCAGACCTTTAGGACAACAGAGAGTGACAGAAGGCAGAGATAGACAGGAATTCAGAATGTGGACTGAGACCTAAGATGAGAGAAGGCGGACAAACACGGCATTCCACCCTTGTTCACAGTGTGTGTACTCTACAGTTGCTATGACACTTTAACAACTGTTCTCCCTCTGATTTTAACCATTTGTTGTGCTCTGCTTTCTATCTTAAAAACAAGGCTCCCTTGCAGAGTAGCCTCTACTAAAAAGAGTAAAAGAGAGATCTACTGAACTGATCATTACACTGTGTCTGGTAAATACTCTGAGTTTAGGAACACCGCGAATAGATAAAGTGGATATCCTGAGCATTGGTAATGTTAAAAGGTCCATTTTTAAATCAGGAGCCAGAGTGAGAAGCTCAGGAGAAAAGGTAGCTTTTGGCCAAAGGAAACCATGAAGTAGGGAAGAAATAGCTGTGGTCAAGGCCCTAGTGACCCATTCACCAATGTGATAGTCTTGCAATGAGAAAGGTAGCTCTCCAAAGTGGATTTAATTATATTCTCTGGCCCATCGTCTATCTTCCAAAGCTACCATGTTGAGCAGAACTTCAATCTGGATTTCTCAGAATCTCTGGTCTGGGGATACAGTGTGTGTGTTTATGCGGTGGGAGGGTCATTCATAACCCCTTTCTCCTTCCCTCGCCCCTTTTCCGTGCAACACACACCCCACAAATTGGGAGATGACTCTGTTCTCTTTTCATATAAGCACTTGGTTACCTTTCCAAGCCTTTGAGGTATGGGAAGAGCTGTAATTTTGAATACGAAAAAAACAGTTAATCTATAGTGTTTCCCAGTAGCATCCGCTGTCATGCCCCTGGCCTGCCCTGAGAGTGTGCTTCAAAACCCGCCTCCCCTGACCACCCTCCTAGATGCCTCCTGAGATATTTCCTCTCCCCTTTCCCCGTCTCTCCGTCTCTCAGAGCACACTGTGCTGAGCTCTTTTTATAGCACTCACCACCGTCTGCTGTGAATCAGATTTAATGGCGTCTGTTTCTCCCTTATTTAGAGCTCCTAGAGGCGGAACCTTGCCTTTTTTTCTTTTCTCTTTATTCTTCTTCTACAGTGCCGGGAAGGAGATTTGAGGCTGGCCAGTTTGAGGTCCAGTCCAGGTTAATTAAATATTATGTTAAATTCTGAGGGATCATATAGCTGCTTCTTTAGAGGTATTATCATAATCCCTGTATCATATAATTATGCTTATCTGTTTGAGTTTACCTGCCCCAATAAACAGTGGCCAATTGTTTTTTATTACCCTTTATATTTGCACCTAGGTTCTCACTAAACACCTCTCGAATTAATAGATATTTAATAATGATGTGTATTTCTTAAACAGTATTTAAAGTAACATAGGTTATTTGTAGTAGGAAGAGTAAGAAAAGGCTACCAGGAAGAAGAGGCTGAGAAAAAAAGGAAAGATTTGAATGTCTTATCACCTTCAAATATTTATTAAACAGTGTGAAAGTGTACAGACTCTTTTATCAGGAACATTATTTCTTCCATAACTGCTAATAAGTTTGTGGTTAAACTTTTTAATATGCATTGATATTCATGACCTAGATATCTTTCATAAAACTTGCTGGGTTTATTGTTATTTTTTTATTTAAAATTAAGATGAAGACACAACCACAATCATACATTTATTTGATTGGTGCCTCAGTTTTCATTGTTCACTAGGGCCTTGAGCACAGTTATTTCTTCCCTACTTTATGGTTTCCTTTGGCCAAAAGCTACCTTTTCTCCTGAGTGATCATTTATTATGCTTTCAAAATGTTTTCAAGCAGTAATGAATTGTATGCCTGGACTTGTTTTTAGAAACTTGAATTAAAACTTCTGATTTTAACTTTTAGTGACTTGTGCAATTTGGACATTATTTAGACACAAGAAGCAAGATACATACACATGATTATTGGTTTGATATTTGGAGCTCCAACTGTTCCCCTGTGGGAACTAGGAGGTTTTCACTAAATATCTGAGAGCCTTCTACATGCCAGATGTACATGCTTCTGTATCATCCATGTGGGGGAGGGGAAGCAGGGGGCACCGAGCCCCATTTGCCTTTAGATGGCATCCGGGTCTGTATAAAGCCCAGGTTTCTGTGTTGCCAAATCTGTCATGGTGCCTGACTGATAGGAAACGATGATTGTGTAGACTGATAAATGGCTTTAGATTCAGGGACTTACAAGGCAGCATGTTGCCAAGAAGTTCTAATAGAGCAGTAGGACTGAAAGCCAGGGCATTCAGTCACAGTGTTTCTCATCAATATAACATATCCACAATGGAGAGCTCGCCCAGAGCAGGAGGGGCCCCTGAGCATGGGGTAGAACTCAGGAAAGACTTTCAGGATGATGTGTTATTCAAGATAAGCTGTGCATGGGAAGTTGCTCTCTGGTTAGAGTGTGGCAGTGGACTGAAGAGGAAACTCCTAGTGCTGGTTCTTACTCAGGATCATCTCTGGCCTCCCATTGCTCTTGAGTGATGTTCAACTTCTTGACCTGACCTTTAGGACCGCTTCAGCCTCCAGCTCATACTTCTGGACCAAGTTTAGCTTATACCATTTTACTCCCACCATCTGGCACAATGCTTGAGACAGTAGGTATTTGTTAATATTAGATCCATGAATATCTAAAGCACCTAGTCCCATGCCCAGCACAGAAAAATACCAATAAGAGATGGTAGATTTTATTGTTTACTATCATGTACAACAGCTGCAACTATTATTTTATATATAGGCAATAAACTCACATGTACAAATAGGTCATGAATAAGGACTGAAACACGGCCATTAGAAGTAACACATTACAAAGGTGTGGCTCATCTCTGCTAATAACTCTGCAAAGTGGTGAGACGAAGCCAGTGGATGGTGATTTGAAGAGTATTAGGAAGGAGAGGAGCTGGAGACCAAACAAAGATGAATTTGTAAAAATAGTTGGCTGGTAAGGAAAATACTTAGGGCAGGAGCTAGGAAGACACTGGGGGCCAAAGAAAAATATTTTTACATGATGAAGGAATGCTGGGCTGAGGACCAGAGTCCAACATGAAGGCAGGTGCAGAACCAGAGTGGATCGGATCAGGCCTGCGAGTGGGAGCACTGGCCTTGCCTGAAGGACCCCCGAATACATGAGAGAAAAGGTGGGTGGGGTTGCAGGCAAGGGTGCAGGGTCTGGGGAGAAATAGAGGTGGTATAAGGGTGATACAGGTACGTTCGATTCTGCTGCCCAAACCTGTTACCGTCTTCTTTCCTTCAGCTGTTCGGGGGCCTCGTCTGGATTTTGGTTGCCTCCTCCAATGTTCCTCTACCTCTGCTCCAAGGCTGGGTCATGTTCGTGTCCGTGACGGCTTTTGTCTTTTCCCTCCTCTTCCTGGGCGTGTTCCTCTCTGGCATGGTGACTCAGATTGAGGCCAACTGGAACTTCCTGGTAAGGGATTTTTTACGTCTCTTTCAGGCAAAAGTGAAAAATTTATAAATATCTCATTCTGTCCTGAAATGCCAGATCCCCTGTCCCATCTGTGGGCAAAAAAAGGTCAGACCGCAGGATCTGCCAATCTGCCATGTGTCTGCCGTGCTGAGCAGCAGGGTCCCAGTTTGTGAAATTCCTGTGTTGACAGAGCTGAGCAGTCTTTCTATTACTCCTTTATGAGTTAGATGACCTTTACTCAAAGACTGTTTTATTTCATACAACAAGTGAGTTGCATTACAGTTACTGAACCATTGAACAGATGCCTTTGGGAGGTGGGGGCTATGACATACATCTTGAAATTTTCTGTTGATTTCTGCTTCAGATGTATACTCTGTTCAGAAAACTGATAGCTACATGTTCTACTCTCCAAATACTTGGGTAAAAAGGAGAAGTTTTATATTTATTTTCAATTCCTGTCCTAAATTAACAAGAATTGGTAAGGTTTTTTTTTTTATTAAACTATCACTGATAAACACTCCTATGAAGGTTTCACATGAAAAACATTGTGGTTACTACATTCACCCATATTATCAAGCCCCCCATACCCCACTGAAGTCACTGTCCATCAGCATAGTAATATGCCACAGAGTTACTACTTGTCTTCTCTGTGCTACACTGTCTTCCCCATGACCTGCCACACACCATGTGTACCAATCATAATCCCCCTCAATCCCCTTCTCCCTCCCTCCCCTGCATCCTCCCCTACCCCTCCCCTTTGGTAACCACTAGTCCCTTCTTGGAGTCTGTGAGTCTGCTGGTGTTTTATTCCTTCAGTTTTGCTTTGTTGTTATACTCCACACATGAGTGAAATCATTTGGTACTTGTCTTTCTCCGTGTGGCTTATTTCACTGAGCATAACACCCTCTAGCTCCATCCATGCTGTTGCAAATGGTAGGATTTGTTTTCTTCTTATGGCTGAATAATATTCAATTGTTTATATGTACCACATCTTTATCCATTCATCTACTGATGGACACTTAGGTTGCTTCCATATCTTGGCTATTGTAAATAGTGCTGCAGTAAACTTAGGGGTGCATATGTCTTTTTGAATCTGAGACCTGGTTTTCTTAGGGTAAATTCCTAAGAGTGAAATTTGTGGGTCAAATGTTATTTCTATTTTAGTTTTTTGAGGGACCTCCATATTGCTTTCCACAATGGTTGAACTAATTTACATTCCCACCAGCAGTGCAGGAAGGTTCCCCTTTCTTCGCATCCTCACCGGTATTTGTTGTTCCTTGTCTTTTCCATGTTGGCCATCCTAACTGGTGTAAGATGATATATTATTGTGGTTTTAATTTGCATTTCCCTGATAATCAGCCATGTGGAGAGCATCTTTTCATATGCCTGTTGGCCATCTGAATTTTTTCTTTGGAGAAGTGTCTGTTTTTATCCTCCACCCATTTTTTAAATCAGGTTATTTGCTTTTTGGGTATTGAGGTGTGTGAGTTTTTATATATTTTGAATGTTAACTCCTTTCAGATATGTCATTTACGATTGTATTCTCCCCTACTGTAGGATGCCTTTTGTTCTACTGATGGTGTCCTTTGCTATACAAAAGTTTTTTATTTTGAATGTAGTTCTATTTGTTCATTTTTGCTTTTGTTTCCCTTGCCCAAGGAGATGTATTCAGGAAAACTTTGCTCATGTTTATATTCTAGATATTTTTGCCTATGTTTTCTTCTAAGAGTTTTATGATTTCATGACTTACATTCAGGTCTTTGATACATTTGAAGTTTACTTTTATGTATGGAATTAGACGATAATTCAGTTTCATTCTCTTATACAGCTATCCAGTTTTGCCAACACCAGTTTTTGAAGAGGCTGTCATTTACCCATTGTATATCCATGGCTCCTTTATCATATATTAATTGGCTATATATTCTTGGGTTGATATCTGGACTCTCTATTCTGTTCCATTGATCTGTGGGTCTGTTCTTGTGCCAGTACCAAATTTTCTTGATTACTGTGGCTTTGTAGTAGAGCTTGAAGTCAGGGAACATAATTCCCCCAGCTTTATTCTTCTTTCTTAGGATTGCTTTGGCTATTTGGGGTCTTTTGTGGTTCCATATGAATTTTAAAACTATTTTCTCTAGTTCATTGAAGAATGTCATTGGTATTTTGATAGGAATTGCATTGAATCTGTAGATTGCTTTAGGTAGGATGGCTTTTTGACAATATTAATTCTTCTTATCCATGAGCATAGGATATATTTCCATTTATTGGTGTCTTCTTTGATTTCTCTCATGAGTGTCGTTTAGTTTTGAGGGTATAGGTCTTTCACTTCCTTGTTTAGGTTTATTCCTAGGTATTTTATTCTTTTTGATGAAATTGTGAATGAAATTGTTTTCCTGATTTCTGTTTCTGCTAGTCCATCATTAGTGTATAGGAATGCAGCAGATTTATGTGTATTAATCTTGTATCCTGCAACTTTGCTGAATTCAGATATTAGATCTAGTAGTTTTAGAGTGAATTCTTCAGGGTATTTTATGTACAATATCATGTCATCTGCAAACAATGACAGTTTAACTTCTTCCTTACCAATCTGGATGCCTTTTATTTCTTTGTGTTGTCTGATTGCCATGGCTAGGACCTCCAGAACTTTGTTGAATAAAAATGGGGAGAGTGGGCATCCTTGTCTTGTTACTGATCTTAAAGGAAAAGCTTTCAGCTTCTCACTGTTAAGTATGATGTTGGCTGTGGGTTTATCATATATGGCCTTTATTATGTTGAGGTACTTGCCCTCTGTACCCATTTTGTTAAGAGTTTTTATCATGAATGGATGTTGAATTTTGCCAAATGCTTTTTCAGCATCTATGGAGATGATCATGTGGTTTTTGTCCTTCTTTTTCTTGATGTGGTGTATGATGTTGATGGATTTTCAAATATTGTATTATCTTTGCATCTGTGAAATAAATCCTACTTGATCATGATGGATGATCTTTTTGATATATTTTTGAATCCAGTTTGCTAATGTTTTGTTGAGTGTTTTTGCATCTATGTTCATCAGGGATATTGGTCTGTAATTTTCTTTTTTTGCGTTGTCTTTGCCTGGTTTTGGTATTAGAGTGATGCTGGCCTCATAGAATGAGTTTGAAGTATTTCTTCCTCAGGAATTGGTAAGTTTTAAGAAACAAATTTGCAAGCAACACAACTTTGAAATTATACTATTCAGTTGGATCAGCTTATTCTCCCTTTTCCTCTATAATATAGGGGGGCCTCTTTCAAGTGGTTGTCATTTTCTGGTACTTCCACAGAGTTGCCCAGTGGAGCATGAATTCCAATCCGTGATGGACAGGGCTATGATGAAGCTCATGGAGAATCCCATTAGGTTTTGATTACCCTTTGGTGATTAGAAACCGAAATTGAGCCTTTATATATGCTCCTTTTGAGTATAGTAGCATTTTATTGAGCATCTTTAAGGCAAATGTTAAAAGGAAATATTTGTGCCTTTCTTATTCATAGAGCATAAGGAGAACTGTCATCCCCAGCGTTACCAGCAGTGAAGTCTAGTGAATATGCCCATTAAACCAGCCCAGGGGCAAATGCTGCAGGTTAGTGTGAAGCCAAAGAGGAAGTGTAGGGCAGTGGTTACAGCCACACACAGGCTTTGAGGTTAAGTCAGCCTGATTAACACTGTAGCCTTGGGTAAAATATTGAACTGTTATGAATTTCAATTTCTTCTGTGAACTGGTACTAATAATACCTCCCTCACCAGATGCTGTTAATGAATATAATGGAATTAATGTATTATAAAGTGCTCCGTTTTGTGTCTGCTTTATACTAAGTGGTCAGTAGTCATCATAATTCCTTAACACAGTGAGGCTTTCAATTTGAAATGTTTAAAGTCCTTCTGTTTCTTAGGTTGCTGATAGAATGTGTTCCTACATTTTTGCCTTGCTTTCTCATTAATGATGAGAAAGTATTTCTAATAATTGGTCAAGTGATGAAGATAGAGGTTCCCTATTTAAATTACTGATAGATGTTTAATCTCCTCTTTCTAAATGCCAGGCCTTCCCATATGTCAATCCCTCATGTTGGTAAGCCCCATCAGTAAGGCCCTGACCAGCCATTCACCACTGCCCATGAGTTTCTGGGTATTCTCGCCTTGGGCCGCTTTGCTTCCAGAGTGTCTGACGTGCTGCTGCAGCCACAGTTCTGCCCATCTGGAAAATATTGCCTAACCACTGTCTTTCAAAGCCAGTTCTGAGTGTAGCTGTAATGCATATAGAATGTAGCTGCTGCCCCCTTTCACGTTGCAACCACCGTCCTGCCGACCATAAATAAGCTCAGGCTTTTTTCTTTCTCCTTCAGTCGGACATAAGGGAACTTCTCCCCCATGTGCCATAGGTGTGAGCGGAGGGAGGAGGGCAGTCCCAGTCTGGTAGGTGAGATGGGGGCCTGCGCTACCTGTTCATGCAGCTGACCTGCTAGCACAGCTCAGATTGGTCTCTGATGTGCCATTCCCATCGTAAGGAGGATGGCTGTTGGCCTGGCTACCTGTATGAACTGGTAGCGTTAGTAGAATCAACTCATAATGGGTGTTTCTGGGTATTTAGTCATTTGGTGTCTCAGGTCAATTTTACCTTCTCTTCAAGGGCTCAGGAGTACACAAGAAGCTACTTTTCAAAGGCATGTATTTCACCCTGCAGGTCACATGCCTAACTCTAGAACTCCAGGAGCCTGCAGAGTGATTTTTCTCACCAGTGCTACCATGATTTCCATACTACATCTTCCCCTCTGACACTTTGGATACCTATGACCCTAAGGATAATACCAGTAGCTGGGTAGTATAGCCCAAGCCATACAGAGTTACAAGTGCCGGAAGCCTATTGGATGGTAACACCTATGAAAGATGAAGGGGGAAGAAACATTAGAAGAAAGGGGTCAGAGAAAGCCTTCTCCACAATTCAATTTTGATGGTCCTGAAGAAAGGAAAGATGGGGTAGGGTGGGTTGTGGGGGCAGGTGATGGGTTCTTAGAAGGATCTCTCCAGTGAGATACAATACTGTGTGGAAAAAGTGTCACCCTTGAAGTATAGAGTGCAGCCAAAGCAGCTCATGTTCAAAGATGTATGAAGGTGGCATCAGAGGAGGCTCTGAAGAAGGCAAGGGCCACATCATACCAAGAGCTCTAGGCCATGCAGAAAACTTTTCCCTAACTTTTAAGGTAAAGTAAGCCATTTTGGAGGGTCCACCTCAGTGAGGATGAGCATGTAATAATCTCAAACATATTTTTCTTTTAATATTTTTTTTTACTAATTAAGATCCAGCTCTATTACATTTAATCCCTAAGAGTAGTGACATTTGGATGTGACCTACATCAGTTAACATTTGTTGAATAATTACATTTATTTGAACATTTCTTCTATAGGTTAGACATGTGGCCAGTGTGTAACACTTTTCTTAAATCTTTTGAAGACATTGGTAGGTCAGTTTATGAATTAGAGGTGTTACATAGAAAGCATTTTAACATTGGACCTTTGTAATTCTTACTCCTGGTTAGTTAACTGTCCTTATTATTCTAAGAATAATAAAAACAATCCCTGTGGCTGGTTTTATTTGCTGAATGGGCATTTTCCAAGACAGTGCAGTGTTTTGTGTTTTTTTGTAATATTGCTATGTAAATAACAGACAAAGTTTAATAAGACAGAAAGTGAACTTTTGAGCCAGGCAGACCTCTGTGGGTTTGAGTTCTTCCTTCAAAAGTTTTATGTGGTTTTGGGACAGTCACTAATTTTAAAAAAGAATAAATTCCTTGTTTGTAAAATAGGGATAATAAATGGGGGTTATAAGGATGAACGGTAATGCATGTAAATACTGGATATTTGGGGCTGTTAGTGAAAAAGCACAGCAATATGTTGATGGTATATTAATTCAGGTAAGATGATGTGGATTTTAATAGAGTTATGCTTCACATTAATGCCAGCAATAAAGGAAATAACCTCATATGGCAGTTGAGTTTTGTGTGAAGAGCTATACATTTTGTAAAAGAATATGACATATTATCATCATTTTAGACTATCAGGAGATAGTTACTGAATTGTAGGATTTCATAGGTCTTCTGTACCTTTCAGTATATGGGGTGACAATCGAATGGATAAAAATAGCAATTGCTCAAAAATAATTATAAAATGTGTGTAGGGAGATTCAAGATGGCGGCATGAGAGGTGATTCGGAGAATTCCTCCCAAAACCATAGATAGTATGAAAATGTAGTTAATTGATACAACTAACCCTAAAACAACAACAAGAAAGAAGGCTGAACCAGACTGCACACAGACCTCACAAACAGAGCAGACCTCACGAAACAGGCCAGACTGTAGTGTGTATGCAGACCAACCACATTTTTGTACAAGGGAAATGGATCCAGTCTGTTCAACTGATGGCCAAACTTATTCTAATAGATGCATTTTCTGCAGTGAAAAATTAGAAAATAGTGGAAAGTTTGAATTTAGTCACTATGGTGCATGCTGATTCTGCCTAAAATATACATTCCTATGGCTTTTATTGCAATCCTACTTCGTGATGGATTCTACAACCAATTACGGTTTTGAAATCCTAGATGACCAAGCAAAGCCTTCTATGCTACACAAGATGGAACACAGAATGATGAAGAATTTAACCAACTCTAAGAACCTATGATTCAAAGATTCTTATTCTCTATGTCCAATTATTCAATTATAGTTCAAAAACTTAATTGTGGGTTTGATAACATAAAATGTAAAGCAATTTAAAATCATAAATATTTCAATCAATAAAATGTTAAATATTATCTTTAAAAAAATGTGTGTAGGTACATCAAAGAACTATGTAGTATACTCTAACAATATAGTTAGTATGTAACAACTATAATAACAAGTGCTAATTTAAATGCTATTTCACTTGAACTTAAAGGACAGCATGTTATTCTCTTTGTATGTTATGTTAATTGATAGTGCTCTCATGGCACGTCCACCTAACCTGAAATCATGTATTTTATTTTAAAATACAGTATATTAGAAGGTTTGCCCTATGCCAATTACTGTGGGTCAGTTGATTTTCATTTGGATTCTAATAGCTTGGCACAGCCAAAAAGGCCAAAGTAAGTGGTGAATATAGTTGAAGGTTATTTGATTAAGTGTTCTGGTCATCTTGACCCTCAATTTCATCATTTGATATAAAGAAAAGAGGAAAACCTCTTACTGTTTTTCATTGTAGACCTCTGTCTGTCCCCTCCCCTTTCAGGATTTTGCTTACCATTTCACAGTGTTCGTCTTCTACTTTGGAGCCTTTTTACTGGAAGCAGCAGCCACGTCTCTGCATGATCTGCACTGCAATACGACCGTGACCTTGCAGCCGCTCTTGACTGATAACCAGTACAACATAAACGTAGCAGCCACGGTGAGTGTTTGATGAATCCAGCTTACTGGTATTTCCCCTCCACTGTCAAGGCCTCCAGAAAGCTCCTCAGACAGTAGCTTTTTTAAATAATGGCCATTAGCATTAAATATATACTAGCTGTGTTGTGAATAATGAAATGGAAGTGTAAAGAGATTGACATTCATGTAAGATTATAGCCAGTCAGTGGTAGTGGTTGGCCTTGCACAACAAAGTCTACACTGTTAGAAGAATTGTGCTTCTTACTTCTTGTAACTTCAGACATGGTAATAGGTATTCAGTACCTATTTGCAATTCATTTTAATTCAATGAATATTTACTGAGAGCCTACCAAGAGGCAGGAAACTTGCTAGGTATTGAGGGCAAGAATGAATAAGGTGCAGTTCCTGCCATTGAAGAAAGTCCAGGCAAGTAGAGGTGGAAATATACCAATCATAACAACAGATGATGCATGGATGAAATGCATTCCATGGGGAAACCTTTTGAATTTTTATCCTCAATTCATGTACTTAACTGAGTTTGTCATTTTGTTTTGATATAGGTCCTTTAAAGACATGATATTATTTCTGTTTTCATAGAAAAATTTTAAGGTGTCAGAAATCCAAATATTTTCCCTTGAAATTTCTTGATATGTGATATGACTGTATAGCAAGTTAGTAACCCTATAAATAGCCCAGGACTTCCCATAAAGCCATTAGAATCTGTCTGGAACAGTGCTGTCCAATAGAACTTTCTTAAATAATAGAAATGTTTTCTGTATACACTGTCCAATAGGGTGGCTACTAATGTAGTAAATTTATTAATTCATTTTAATTAATTTAAATTTAAATAGCCACATCTGGCTAATGACTATCATATTGGACAGCACAGGTCTAGAGTCTGGGGTCTGAATGGTGGAAAACTGATGATTTCAAGACCTGCTATCATAAGTTTCCCAAAGTCTTTGTCAGGATTTGTCAAAACTGACTGAGTGTCTACAATAAATTGGACTGAAGATGGGATTGGAGCAGAAAGGAGACATGGTGCCAGCTTTGAAAGGCATATAGTTTAGATCCATGGTTTTTATACTTTTATAAAAAATGAAATTTTTTTCTTAATGAAATGTTACTTAAAAATCAGTAAATGTAGAAGGTAGAAGCATAGATGCCCTAGTTTGAAGGGGAGAAGAGGGTCCTGAATGATGACCTTCTTCTCTTCGTAACGCCACCTCTCCCCACCTTTTAATTTTAATCATTTCTGAGGCACCTTCATGGAATCCTTGTGGTTCAAAGATCACAGTTAGAAAAGAACTGGTTTTAACAAGTTTACAATGTGACGAAAAGTTCAGGGACTTGGAATGGACTTTTTCTCCGTCAGACGTCCTTCCTATTAGTCACCAATTCTCATTTACTACTTCCATCCCCTCCTTTTCGGTGGTGCGGTTTAAATTATCATTCTCTCTCTTGGGTCCTTGAAGTAGCCCCAAAGTAACCTATTTATAGTTGTCTAAGATCCTGCTTTAATAAGAATAATCGGTGCTTATGTACTTGATAATTGGTGGTGGATGTCATTAATTTCTCACTAACATTCCTTTGCCCCAAGAGACCAGCTCTCAAGTGTTTTCTGTAGGATGATTCTAGTCTGGCTTTCCCTCTTTTATGACTTTGTCCCTGTTATCCTTCCCTTAGTTTCTCTGCCTAAATGAGGCTGCTTTAGTAAATCTACATACTTTTAAGTTCTACATGAAGTCCCAGTTCATTCAATCACTCCAGTAGAAGTAAATCTTCAATTTCTGAGTTTTAATGACACTTAATGTATGAGCCATTTATGACATTAGATTGAGTCTCCCTCACTTTTCTTTTTATTTCAGTATACCTAAAGAGAGGAAAATTCTGTTTCACTTGTAATTTCAAAAGTGGTCATTCTATTCCGTAGGCAGTGTCTAGATTAGAGATCAGAGAGACAACCAGCAGAAGAAGGGTGGAGGGAATAGCAGAAAGGTAGTTACACTGTGAAAATGTCCTATAGGCCAAGCTGCTATTCCTTCTCAGAGCTGTAATTCCTGGTAAAGCATGCCTGCACGAATCATAATGTTTATCATACTGAGTTGTTTTGACTTAGAATTCTATATAGATCACAAACCCCAAAAGGATGAGGACAGTATCTGCTGTTTGTTTCTATGCATCAAACATACGGATGTACAGACACATGGTTGGTACTGAAGAAGCTGTGTCATGTACGAGGACAGTCATTCCAAGCTGGAGGAAGACTTGATGATCTCCCCTGCCAGCCTGATGATTCATTTTCTTGGGTTCTCTTCAGTTCTAAAGCCACTTCCCATTATCATGGGAATGATTCGCTACATCTTTAAGTTTCAACAGTTGCAGTTTCCTTGGCTGGGAGATCACTGTATGAATAGGCACCTTTTACTGAATTTTTGAATACTCAGTGGGGAATTTCATAAATAACTTAACAAGTGAGTCCAGTATGTGAACAAATGTTCAACCTAAGGCTCTCCACAGTTGCCAAAATTACTGAGGACTGTAATGTTTAAAAGAGAATGGGGTGAGGAGTAAAAGAGTAGTACAAATCATCAAAAAAAAAAAGATGAATATAAACCATTTTCATAAGAGCTGAAGTATCTTTAAGAAGGCTGGCCAGGAACTATCTTAAAGTAGTTGTCCCTTACGGTGAGTGTTACAAATCTCATGTGAATTTTGATTTCTTTTTTCTTAGATTTTCGCCTTTGTGACAACAGCTTGTTACGGTTGCAGTTTAGGCCTGGCTTTACGAAGATGGCGCCCCTAACGCTCCTTAGAAACTGTTAGTTTCATTTGTCTACTTTATCGTCTGATCAGTTTGGATAGCATTTTGTCTGTATATAACAGCAGTCCAACAGTTACTTGTTTAGTATATGGAGAGAATCTAAGTACAAGTTTTGGTTCATTTCATGGATGGAGTTTAAATTTTATTATGATGTTAAACAGAGAAATAACCTTTAATTTTACATCTGTCTCTTTTTCTTTTTTCTCTTTTAAAAAAATGCCTTTATATTCATAAATTACACAGATATTGTTCATGAAAAAGGGACATTTCTTTTGTGGCTGTCACCCGAACCTTAATTTTCATAGGTAGCTAAAACCCTCTTTAAAAAAACCCACTTCAAATAGACTTTCCACCGAACTCTCCTTTTGTGTAAAATAGAGATTGGCCGTCTTTTACTATAAAGGTCTAGGTGGTAAGTATTTTAGGCTCCGTGGGCCATGCAGTCTCTGTTGCAGCTGCTCAACCCTGCTGCTACTCCATGAAAGCGGCCATAGACAGTACATACATGAGTGAGTGTGACCATGTTCCAATATAACTTTTTTTTTATAAAAACAGGCAACAAGCTGGTTTTGGCCTGTGGCCTGCAGTCTATAGTTTGTCAACCTCTAGTGTAAAACCTTAGTTATATGTTCTGTGTTTTACTGAACTGATATGGAAGGTATAAAGCTAATTAGACAAGCTACATATTTTATCTCTTTATGCAATAATTACATTTCCTTTGTGGTAATGGTCAAAAACTTATCCTTAAAGGGGCATATAGTTTCTCAACTAATTCAAATAGAGTCTTGGGTACAGCGAAAAGTAATTTATGTCATGAACCCTAATTGTTTAATCAAACTAAAAGTCTCTTAACAACTGAGAAAAACTCACACCTAGCATCCTTAGAATGAAATCCCCAGAGACCATTAACCACTAGAGGAACTGCTATCTAGCTACTAATGTCTTACTTTGGGTTTATTTATGCTTCAGAATACAGCTGTTTGCCTGTGCATGAATATATAAATATTTGTGTGTGGATATGTGAGGCTTTACCAAATAGAGCTCTCTGTAGAGTTAATTTTTACTTCTAATTATTTTGTATAACATATTGAGTTAAATTTGATAGAGTATTAAATATAACTTAGAGTTGTAGATTATTAACATCATTTGGTAATATCCCTGACATCCATGTTTGTTTGCATTGGTGAAAAATCAGTTTTCAAACAACTGTCACAAAAACTGCCTTTTGTTGAAGAGCACAAACAAGTATTTTAAGCCACCTATAGAGACCCTGATCATGGAAAGGTGCCAAAATGGCTTGACTGGGTAAACAGGTTACAGTTATGCCCCAGCTCCACCACACTGTCCAACCAATATACTGATCTCTTGTCCCAAGAGGGCTACCTCTGGGAAAATAGGGCTTTTGGTTGTTCTATACTTTTAGCCCTTTGCTTTTTTGGTAGAATCATCCCCAAAGAGTGCCACATATAAGTTGGGCTATTAGGTTTCTTAGAACATAGAACAATCCTGAATGAGTAGCATGATCAATGCTCTGTGATCAAATGTTTTTTATGTACTTATCTATCCCCTAGAAAGAATTTTATTAGAGTTTGGTTCATGATGTAATTATAAAGATACAAAGATTCAATTTGTCACAACAGGAAATCAGTTTTACAACTCTATACCCATGTCTTAATCTCTTCTGTAATATATGACTTCCTTGGTTTTTCCAGCTCTATACCACACACTTAAACCTGTATTATGAATTGTATATTACAGTCATAAATGTGCCATAAAGCTATATACTCCATTCTGGTTGGAATTGTTTAAAGTTAGTCTGTTTTTGTTTCTAAGGTATAACAGGTCCATGCTTGGTGGCATTAAATTAAATGATTTCCTGAAACTGTATTGGTGGTACTTCTGTTAAAGGACTGCTTTCTAGATCATTAAGAACCAAGCTTAAAACTCATCTAACTGTGAATACTTAGATTTGTAGATTAATTGCATTCTCGATTTGTGAGTTGAGTGACAAAGCACTTAAAAATTACAGCATTTGAGAATTTCTTTATATATGCTGTAAAAATGAGAAAGTGTTGGTTGGTTTTAAAATCTGGTAACTCCATGATGAAAAGAAATTTATTTTATAAGTGTTATGACTCTAATAAAGTATTCATTTGGTAATCTTTTTTGGTCATCTATTTTTTTATACAATTCGCTTTGAAATTCAGTGAAAGGTTTGATATAAACTTGACAGATTTGGAACTTCTAGACTCATAAAATATGAAATAGTTCTGCTTTAAACATTTCTATGTAAAAGATACTCTCTTGGGAAACATCAGTAAATCTTTTCTTTAATGAAGGCCAAATAGGTAAGTCTTTGGAAGTAATATATTATAAAGGAAGTTTAAATTATACTGTTTTACTTAAAAAGCATTTGTATAGTACTTGATATATACCAGGCACTGTTCTAAACTTTTTTTTCCACATACTAGCTCATTTAGTTTTCATCATAACATTCTATGGGATAGAAACTGTCATCTCATTTTGAAAATGATGAAACTAAAATACAGACTTCAAGGAACACCTAGGGCCATATGCTTAGCAGGTGGGAAAGGTGGAATTTAGACCCCAGCTGTCTGGCTTCAGAGTCTAGGCTCTTAATAGCCATGTATCTGTCAGCTCTTACAGATTTTAGATATTTTATATATCCAAAAATGTGACCCTTTTTCCCCAAAGTTTTTGGCAAGATGGTGAATAACATAATTGTTTATGGTAGATGTTATCTTAAAGAACTCTTTATCGTAACCAAGGACTCATGAATTTTAGCTATAAGAACTTAGACCAAACTTAAATAATAGGGAAAAGGTAGGCAGCTCTGGTCTGCAAAGGTCCCAGAGTGCTTGGCTACCTGGGTACTTCTTGGGGCCGTCAATTCTGACATGGACTATGGGGCTCAAGTCTCTCCATTGTCCTTTCCTGAATTCACCTGGCTTCCTGATCACCCCCTGGAACTGACAGAAGGGTCCCCTCGACTGAGAGACACCATTTGATCTTTACGCTTAAACTGAATTTCTACCTTGGCATATGCTGAATCTGGAATTCTAAGTCGTCATCATAAAGGTTCTGTCCTTAATTAACATCATGCTTCAAGTCTGTTATTAAGTGACTTGAACAGCATCTCAAGTGGCAACTGAATGTATTTTGCGGGAGGGATACAGGGCTTAGGGGGAAGCAATCATCTTCAGAACAAATCCATATGTTTTTAAGGCCTTGAAAGCCCAGCCTTTTAGAGAGAGCATGTCGTAGGCTGTGCCCCGGGCCGCAGGCCCACGCTGGTGCCTCTGTCCGGAGCAGTCCTCTCCAGTTCCTACTTGGCTGCCTCCTCACCTTCCCTGGGTTTTGCTCAGTTGTCACCTCTGCAGGGAGGCCTCCCTGAGAACCGTGTTTAAGCTTGAATCTCACACCAGCACTCCCTGTCCTCCTTCCCTGCATATGTCTATGGCACTTAGGACATATGTTTTAAATATGGCATGTATTCTATTCATGTTGTTTATCCTTTCCTCTACTATAATGTAAGGCTTGTGAAGAGGAACCATCTGATTTGTTGATGGCTCTATCCCCAGTGTCTAGAATAGAGCATAACAAACAGCAGGTACTCAATACCTATATATTGAATTAGCAAATGAACAAATATTAATGGGAATACCCTTGCTCTTGTGTGCCAGTTGGTATATTCTGTAAAAATTGATCTGGGTAACATTTGAAAATTTCTGGTATAAAATTGCTAGGTGTTTTTTTCACACAGCTCTGGCTATATTTAGAGTCAGTTCTAATCTTACAGTTTCTCTAGTAATAGATGTGTATCATAAAAATACATAATCAGTCTTGTTACAGCAGAGGAGCTGTGCGTATAAAAATTAGGCATCCCATGATCATCAAAAAGCCTCCACAGGGATCCGGACGATGCTGCGGTTGTGGCTGCATCCAGCCCACCGTCTCCTGGACTTGCCATAGGAATGAGGAGGGAGATGTCTAGGCTGGCATGTGCATACAGTGAGACAACGAATTTGACCGGATCTGTACTGTTGGAACTCAATCAGGAGTTGGGAGGGGTGCAAGTTGTAGCACTCCAAAATCTCATGACTATAGACT